ACTCCCCTCAAACAACTGTTAAGATATTGGTATTTCCTTTTCAGTGAGGAGAAAACCGAGACTCAAGAAGGTAAAGGTCACACAGGTAGTGACCCAGGCAGCACCTGGGCATCTCTCCGGGGTTGCATGAAGGTATGCATCCACCCCAGTTATCAAACAGGCCTAGCACGAGCTGGGGGAGGGAGAAGCACTGCTGTTTGCTCCTGCAAAGGTACAGGGCCTGGTGGGAAACTCAGAGCAGATGGTATGGGAGATGACCAGAAAGCTCTGCCCTTTGATGTCTCCTGCTAGCCAGGAGTCCAAGCCTCTCTCACTCCCAGGGTCCCCCTAGAGAAGCCCCTGGCCTTTGGAGGAGCATGGAGGGGAGCATGGCAGGAGTGTGAGAAGAACAGCAGCTTATATTGGTACAACTTTATTGTTCAGTCTTGACGCCCAGCAAGAAGCCCTGGAGGTGGGTAGGTAATGATAATAACAGCAATATCAAGGACAGGAACTTACTTTTATTATAGCTCATTCATTATATACCGGACACTAAGCATGTTGCTTGGCTTATCTCGTTGAACAACCTCAAGGGCCAAGATATTATTATTTATCTCGAGTTCACAGAAGAGATAACAGGCTTAGAGAGGTTAGGTAACTTGCCTAAGGTCATCCAGGCCTGACTTTGGGGGTGGGGGTCAGTTTTATACTAAGGTATAACTTACATACAGGAAAACTCACCCTTTGTTGTGTACAACTCTGTGAGTTTTAAAACACAGATATGTAACTGCCACCACAATCAGGAAGTAGAAGGGTTCTATCACTCCCTAAAACAGGCCGGCCTCCTGCCCTCCACGGCCTCGCAGGCAGCATTGGCCGTGATCTTACAGATGACAAAATGGAGGTTGGGAGAGGTTGTGGTGTTGCCCAAGATCGCTCAGTCAGTAAGTGACAGATCTGAGACTTGAACCTTCATCATGTGTCTGCTAGTTCAGCTGCCTGCAGAGTGTAGATTCCGAAATCTACAGAGCACAACCCTCATCGGGTGGGGATGTGGAGATTGGGAGCCCGTTGCTCTAAGATGGAGCCTCAGGAATCTCCTCACTTCCCACCACTCACACCGGTACTTAACCCAGCACCCACCCTTCCAGAGCAGCTAGGGAACAAAGAGGGGCCGCATTCTGGAAGGCTGAAGAAGCCACAAGTAAAGAGAATGGCAGCCACTGGGTCCAAGGAGCAGAGTCTAGAGGCAGCTCAGGGTCCGAGTCCAGACTAGGTTGCCCAGCGCCTTGGTGTGCCTCTGCCCTCCAGCCTGGTTAATGAGTTACTCTCCTAGTTAATTCGCCTGCACGTCGGAGCCTGGCAGAGCGAACCTTTCCAAGCTCCTCGGTCCCGGCGCATGAATTAGCATAGATTACTCCGCTTCCAGGGCTTCCGCGTGCGGCCCCTGACTCGCTAGAAACCCGCTTCTTCCTCGTGGAGGCCCGGGAGAGGCTTGGGGCCAGCGGCGAACAGGCGTGTCCCACTGCCGCCAAGAAGGCAGCCACCAGACTCTCTCAGCCTCGCCCACCTGCCAATAACTAGAGCCCTTTGGGGGTAAAGCTGGCCCCCTTATGGCAGTTTGCAAGAGGCGGGTGGCCTGCTTCTTGGACACTGGGAGCAGCCTGGGCCCTCTGCCCCGGCCGACTGTCCCTGCCTCGGGAGGGAGGCTGAGGGTCTGGGCTCCAGACTGCTCACTTCATTAGGACACTCTCCAGACACATCTTGGTCAAAACAGGAGAAAGTGTTTAAGGTGGTACCAATAACACTTTAGTGTTCAGCCTGAGAGTTTAGAAGAGGGGAAACTATCACACACCATGGCGGGCCTCATCCCACCTCCCAGACCCTGCATGGAGCCCCTTTGCCTTCGAAGTCATCTACTCTCATACCCCCAGCCAAGATCACTAATACTGACTGTTCAATAAGGTCATTCCCTGCCCTGCAGCCAGGGTGGGGCTTTTAGTGCCCTCAGTTTCCCACTTGTAGTCTAAGGCTGAGTTTGGAAGGCCTGGCCTGTGGGCAAGCCTGAATCTCCAGCCCGCCTGGAAATCCTTCCGTGGAGAAAGGGGTCCTCCTCCACTGGCTCCAGGATCGGGGATCTACAACCCGCCTAAATTGGGTATTTCTTTCTGGGAACCAAGGGCTGACCTCTACCTCCACCCCAGACTGGCTGGCTAGCGCAGCCCAAAGACTTCCACTTTTCCTGGTGGCTTCAGGCCCCCGGTTGGCCTGGGCACAGTGGGGCTTGTGTCCCTACAGCCTATCTGAGGGAAGGATTTCTGAATCGGGGACAGTATTTTTGGAGGTCCATGGTTCAGGACCCAGGGAGATACTAGTTAAAATGCAACCCACCCCAAGAGGCTGGATCGAGCACACTGTATCCTTGGGCCTGGGGAAAAGGATGGGGGGATGCCACAAAGCAAGGTTGAGAGAACCCGCTAAGGGTGAAAACCCAGCCAAGACCCCTGCCCAGAGCTGGAGTCAGAGAGCAGAAGCCTGAGGTAGGGGCAGGCTTCTTGGGGCGTGAGTATAGAGCTGAGGGCAATGCCTGTCTCGTGTGTGGAAGTGTGTATGTGTGTGTGCCCTGGGAAGCTTGGGGGAGGCAGCACGCATGATCTCTGCTGGGTCCTCACTAAGATCAGGTGCCCAGACAACACCAGAAAACACACTCCTGACTCCTCTCTTGCCTGGAGTGTTTTCCGAAAGGGGTTTTGGATCCTCCTCCCATCCAACCCCCCCCCCCAACACAGACTATGCCTGGAATAAAGAAGAAATTGACACAAACATAAATACACAGCAGATGAAACCACAGAGGACGGGGGAGACCCTAGGGCAGGGAGAGGGTCGCTGGGAAAGCAGGGGCACATGTCCCCAGACCTGGGGACCTTTGACTGATGAATCTGGTGGCATCGAAGCCTGACTTACAGGACTTCCCTCTTCTCCCCCTCCCAATCGACATTTTTTTGGGTCTCACGGCAACCTCATCACCAAACACAGGCATTTCTTCATCCTTAAGCGAAGTGACATGGGCCTCCAAGTAAGAGATTTAAAGGATGCCAGATTTTTTTAAAAATCATTAATTGTAAACGTGCAAAATACCTGCTGGTACTTCACTTTAGAAGAATGTAATTGGCAAAAAGAAAAAAAAAGGAAAAAAGAGGCGGCTGATGAATAGATAATAGATCTTTAACCACCAATAAACAGAGAGCAGCGCCAGCAGCCTGGGGGATGTGATCATAATTATGCCGCAGCGTGAGCCAATGGGGACGAGGGAACTCGGCCCTAAAATCATCCTAAAACCGAAGGCAAGCTCGAAAATGCGGACACGGCCTGGGACTGGAGAAGCGATCCTCACTCCCTAATCGCAAGCCCTGGGTTTGCACAGCAACCCGCCCCTAGGACGACAGATGGCAGAATAATAATAGAAATAGTGATGATGATGATGATGATGATAATAATAATAGCAATAATAAGAATGATAACAACACTAACAAAAATAATAACGACAACGTAACGGTAATAGTAGTATCACATCAGCCTCTCCCTTGACCTTGGACCCCCATTCCCAGATATTGGGACCCCCAGTTCCCAAAAGAGCTGTTTGGGGGAAGGAGATGAGCACCCTCCCAGAGAGGAAAATAGAGAGCCTGTGGGCAAGTTGGAAGCCCACCGCCAGGGCAGGGTCGTCCACTCCGGTCTCAGCTTGGAAACGAACGGGCCGAGTCAAGGATCGTGAACTCAGGGACCCTGGGACCTAGAGGCTACGCGTGGTCGGAGGACCCCCATCCCCGGCCAGACTCCCTCCTCACCTGGGAAACCTCCGGGAGCTTCGCTGGGGGTGGGAATTGGTCTAACCCAACGGCTCCGTTAGCCCTCGCCGGGAACCAACCCCTGCTCGCTTACCCTCGAGTGCTCCCGGGGCGATTCCAGCTCCCCTGACCCGCGCCCGCGGGGGGCAGCAGCGGCATAGCGCTAGGCGCGAGGAATATGTGCATCAGTGTGTCCGTCTGTCCCCCCAGCTCGGGCTCAGCAGGCTCGGGATCCAGGGGGCCGCAGCAAAGGCGGCGCCGCTCGGGGACTCTGCAGGGACCGGGGTGCCCCGGAGGGAATGGTGGTGGTGGAGAAGTAGGCGGTGGCTGAGGGGGAGGAGGTGGGGAAAGAGGAGGAGGAAGAAGAGGAGGAGGAGAAGGAGGAAGAGGAGGAGGAGAAGCCAAAGGAAGAGGAGGAGGCGAAAGAGGAGAAGAAGCCGCCGCGGGCGCCGCGGGAGCAAGTGAGCTAGGAGCGCGCGGCGACGGCGCCGAAAGGCCGGGCGGCCTGGCGGGCGCAGGAGGCACGGCCGAGGCAGCGGCGCCGACTCCGTTCCACTCTCGGCCTGGATCCAGGCCTCCGGGTTCCCAGGCGCTCGCCTCCTTCTGACGCACTTTAAAGAGTCTCCCCCCTTCCACCTCAGGGCGAGTAATAGCGACCAATCATCAAGCCATTTACCAGGCTTCGGAGGAAGCTGTTTATGTGATCCCCGCACTAATTAGGCTCATGAACTAACAAATCGTTTGCACAACTTGTGAAGAAGCGAACACTTCCATGGATTGTCCTTGGACTTAGGGCGCCCTGCCCGCCTTTTGCAGAGGAGAGAAAACTTTTTTTTTGCCTCCCCCGAGAAACTTCCCCCCCTCCCGCCTCTAACTTCGATCCCCCCCACGCCATTCAAAAAAAAAAAAAAAAAAAAAAGAAAAGAAAAACAAAAGAAAAAAAAGAAAAAAAATTACCCCAATCCACGCCTGCAAATTCTTCTGGAAGGATTTTTCCCCCTCTCTCCAGGTTGGGCGCGTTTGGTGCAAGATTCTCGGGATCCTCGGTGTTGCCTCTCCCTCCCCCTCCCCCCTTCTTTCCTTCTTCCTTTCCTTTCCTTTCCTTTCTTTCTCCCTTTCCTCCCCCACCCCCATCCCCACCCCCCCCCCCACCCCCACCCCCAACAAACAAGTCCCCAATTCTCGTCCGTTCTCGCCGCGGGCAGCGGGCAGCGGGCGGCGGAGGCAGCGCGCCGCGGTCGCCGGGAGCTGGGAGCCCCGGGCGCCCGCTCCTCGGCGCAGCATGTTCCAGCCGGCGCCCAAGCGCTGCTTCACCATCGAGTCGCTGGTGGCCAAGGACAGTCCCCTGCCCGCCTCGCGCTCTGAGGACCCCATCCGTCCCGCGGCGCTCAGCTACGCCAACTCCAGCCCCATAAACCCGTTCCTCAACGGCTTCCACTCGGCCGCCGCCGCCGCCGCCGGCAGGGGCGTCTACTCCAACCCGGACTTGGTGTTCGCCGAGGCGGTCTCGCACCCGCCCAACCCGGCCGTGCCCGTGCACCCGGTGCCGCCGCCGCACGCCCTGGCCGCCCACCCCCTGCCCTCCTCGCACTCGCCACACCCCCTCTTCGCCTCGCAGCAGCGGGACCCGTCCACCTTCTACCCCTGGCTCATCCATCGCTACCGATATCTGGGCCACCGCTTCCAAGGTACGTGCCACGTCGCGGGGCTGCAGCGCTCTGCAGCCCGCACTGCCCTCGGCCTGCTCTGGGTGGGCGCCCGGCAAGGCCTGGATGGAGGTTCCTCCGGTTCGCCCGCCCGCGCGCCGCGTTTGGAAACTGGGCGGCGAGGAGCCGGGCACGGTCCCTAGTCTCCGAGCTGCGGCCGGTTTGGGGTCTGGCCGCGGCCGCTTGACCCTTTAGAGAAGGGCGCAGACAGAGGAGTTGTCCCCGAATGCTCTCGGGTCGAGGCAGGCTTTCCTAGCGTGCTACGAGTGCCGGCCGCCAAGGAATCCGTGGCCCGCGGGGGTCCCCGGGTTCTCTGTCTTCCCGGCGATGCCCTCGCCGCCCTGGCTCCGAGGGCCGCGGACAGGGCCCGGCCACCAGGTTCGCTCTCGACTGCGTTCGACCCTGTTTACCATCCACTCCGCGCCCCTGCATCCTAGACCTGCAGCTTCTCGGTCTCTGACCCTCTTCCGGCGGCGAAGAGACCCTCGCGTCCCCAGAGCAAAGTCTGGGAGTTTGTTTTATCCTGCTTACTCTGGAGGCTCAGGCGGGGCGGGAACCCTCGCGGGTAGGAGCCTCCGAGGCTCAGGACTCTCGTCGTGACCTGCTCAATTCGGGTGCCGAGCGGCCACGGCGAAGGCAGGTTCGGTCTGGTTTTTGTTTTTCTTTTAAAAGAAATGAACCGGGTCGGAAGACGGGCTGGAGGAGATCTGTTTGGGTGTTTTCCTTTCTTGCTATTTTTTGGATTTGTGTGTGGGGGGGGGTGGGGGTGGGGGGGGGGGTGGAAGGAGAGTTAAAACTCCAGAAAAAGGGGCAAGTAATTAGTTTAGCGATCCGAGCGGGGAAAAGACCTACCTCCCGAGGCCGCTGATCAATACCCAGCGGCTTGCCCATTCATTAACCCTTGGCGTTCCTGCCAGAGCCTAGAATGGGGTAGATTCCCGTCCTCCATAATTAAAGAAACCAAACCAAACAAAAACAACGTTTTACTCTTATTCCCAGACCGGAGTTGCCTCCATCCCTGCCTGGATTGTAGGTTTGTCTTTCTTTGGGTTTTGGTGAATCGATTTCCCACCCTAAGGAGTGAATCCGAAACTCTCTGGCTTTGCTCGAAAAGTTTAGGGTTCCCTTTCCTCATTCTCTGGCAGCCACGCTCTTGGTCCCCACGCCAGGCCTGGAGTAGCCAGGATCTTCTGGGGCCGCGCACAGTTCCATCGGGTGACCGCAGCTCCGTACTCCCCGGCTTTCGATGCCTTCGCTCGAGTCTCCTAGTTCTCTGGAGCAGGGCAGCGGGAGAACGGGGCCTCGGGAGGCAGCGGCGGCAGAAACCCTGCGCACCCGCCGGCGAGATTTCGGTCTAGGCCGGGCTGCAACGACACGCCCGGCCTCTGCACTTTTCCGGAGGAGAAAGACAAGTACTTTAAAAATAAGTCCCCGAGAAAACTCTAGGATAGCGGTTCGTCGCCTCTTCGCCCCTCACCCCCGCGGCAAAGTTCTCCCAGAGGTTAGAAAGAAGAGACAGACGTTTCTCTGGGTACAGGGCGCCAATCCCCGGGCCTTGCCTTGCCGCCCCTTCCTCTGTCCCGGGCGCCTGTTGCGGAAGTGGCGAGGCTCGTGGGCCCCGGGCGGCTGCAAAGCCCGCAGAGGTCAGGAGCCTTGGGACTCGACCCGCCGGGACAGCTGCTGCTGGGTGCTGCACAGCTACGGCCCCGGCGGAGCGGGCCAGGCAGCTGGAGCGGTGTTCCCTTCCCGCGTGTGGAGGGCTCTGCGTCCCCGTGGGCCGGGCCGCACGGGCTACGTACGCGGAGGCCCTGAGCGCTGTGCCGGGTCAGCCCGGCTCGGGAGAAGCGCGCGAACCTGGCCAGGACAGCCCCCTTTAATGGGACTTCTGTTGTGTCCCCCGTAGGGAACGACACAAGTCCGGAGAGCTTCCTTTTGCACAACGCGCTGGCCCGCAAGCCGAAGCGGATCCGAACCGCCTTTTCCCCGTCCCAGCTTCTGAGGCTGGAACACGCCTTCGAGAAGAACCACTACGTGGTGGGCGCAGAGAGGAAACAGCTGGCGCACAGCCTCAGCCTCACGGAAACTCAGGTGAGCGGGCCCAGGCGCGGCAACCGCATCCCAAATCTCTGGACACACGCAACCCGCAAAGTGCGGAGGGCTTTCGGCAAACAGTCCGGGAGCTGGTTCCACGCCCGGGCTCAGGATGTGTAAGTTTTGACGTGCTCTTGGCTTCCCTGGGCTCCAGCACGGGCTGTAGGAGATGACCCGCCCGAGGCTCTGGTGGGGCGGGCGGAGACGGGCTGAATTGCTCCTTCTGTGCGGCTGGGCTGGCCTTGCAGCTCCTGGCTAAGATACCTCTGCACTTTCGGTGAGACTTTCGGTGGGAGTCTGGGGTACGCGGCTGGGATCCAGGAAGGAGAGTGCCGCGGGGTTTTGGGGTGTTTGGGGCTCTAGGCTGGAGAGAGAGCTGAGAGTGGGTTAGGGCGAGCTCTGTGCACCGGGGGCTCAAGGCTCACAGCGACGGCTCCAGTTATTCCCCTTGAGGGGATCGGAGAGTCAGACCGCCGAGCCGGCATCCTGGGTGCGTCCCTAAATCCGAGAAACAGAGCTAGAAGTCTTCGGGAGAGGAGCTGCCTCAGGGGGCAGACCCTTCCTGCGCAACAGGGTCCCGAGGCGGCCAGGTTCTGGCCTGCCCCGGGGCGAGGAGGGGGCTTAGGGCTACAGTAGGCGCTACTGTACGCGGAGCCTCAGGGCGGGGTCAAAGTTCCCGGCAAACAGTAACATTTTCGGGCAGATTAAGTTGTAACACTTTTCCTGGGAGGCGCAAAGAGGTCGAGGCTTTTGTTTTAAAACGTCCCCGCGGACAAAACCGAGGAGGGCCTCGCGGGTTGGTGCGGGGCCCGGCACAAGGCGCGGCCCGGCTGATTTCTCCTGGATCGCCGAGTCGGCCGTGGTCTTTATCCGCCTCGCTGCCCACGCTGCCTGGAGCCTTTGTGTGCGTGTCAAGCCCCGAGCGCACCGACGCGCGCCTTGGGCGAGCGCCGGGGAGAAATGAACCGTCCTCCCCCTCAATTAGCAAACTCAAAGCAAATTAAACTCAGCCGTGTTCCAGCTCGGCTTTTTCATGGGGGCACTTTGGGGGATTGGGGGCATCCGGGGAGAGCAAGCCGGGACCTGGGCCTGCCGACTCAAAGGAGAAAGCGGAGCGGACTTCAGGGGCCTGGGGTGCTGCTAGCAGAATGGGGCAGCCCTGGTGGCATGGGAGGTGCAGTCATCACCATGTTCCTCACCTGTACCTCACCGCTGAGAAGCTTGGGCAGTGTTACTGTCTGGTCTGGTCACTGTATGGGGCCCCATCACCAGCTTCCCCAGGGACTGGTCGGGATAGCGTGTGAGCCCCACCTCACTGCTCCCCAGACTTCTAGCAGCGCTCCGAGGAGGCCAGGCTGCCAGCCCCGCCCTGGTGGGAAGTGATGTGATGGGGTGAGAGCTTGGCCCTGGACTGTCCTGGGGCTGTTCAAGAGGAGGACTGAGGGGCTCTTCCCTTCTCTTTCACAGTTTTTCTCTTACTTCCCCTTTATCTCACGGTCTTTCAGAAGCTTTCACTTTTGAGCCTCTTTTCCTAGCTGAAAAGACACAGCTGGGTTGGTCCCCAGGGCTGTGCACCCCATCATCCCCCCCACCGGTTTCCCCCAGCACCCCCCCAACACACACACAACTGCTTCTGCTCTCACCTGCAAGAGTACTGGGCAGAGAGGGGAAAGCTCAGGCCAATCTTGACTGCCTACCCAGGGCCCAGGCTTTGCCGAGGAGGCGCTATATTTAGGCAGCGGCTGTGGGAAACTGGCAGAAAATAGAAAGCACATTCGGCCCTGCAGGAGCTGCAGCAGTGGGAATGAGATCTTCCCTGCACTAGTTAGGTAGAGGGAGTCAGGGATGTGTCTCTTTTAATTTTCCCTTATTTATAATTTTATAGGGGTTTCCCAGTGTTTGCCAGGCTTTTGCACTTAGTGGGATGTGGGTGTCCCGAGCAGGACAAAGTGAGAAGGGGACACTCTGCACTCTGGGCCTCGGGGCCAGGGGAAATGTGCTCCAGGAGGGCCAGAAGGGGAGGGAGCCAGCCTTCTCTCCGGCCCCGAGATAGGAGCTCTGTTCCCCGAGGGGAGGCCGTGGGGAGGTCGGCTAATAGGACACGCAGCTGGGGTACTGGATTTTCGTAGTCTCAGTCCCAGGTCCGGGCCAGGCAAAAGAGGAAGAGGTAGGAGGACGCTGTGCAGGAACTATAACGCGCCCCATCTGCCTCTCCTGCAGGTAAAAGTATGGTTTCAGAACCGAAGGACGAAGTTCAAAAGGCAGAAGCTGGAGGAAGAAGGCTCAGATTCGCAACAAAAGAAAAAAGGGACGCACCATATTAACCGGTGGAGAATCGCCACAAAGCAGGCGAGTCCCGAGGAAATAGATGTGACCTCAGACGATTAAAAACACAAACAGAACCCCTCAGAAACGGACAACACGGAGCAAAACAGAGACAGGGAGAGGAGGGGAAGAAGAAAAAACCCTACAAAACAAAAACAAACCACACACACATTCACGGAGAAGGGGAGAGGGAGTCAGAGAGAGGGGCGGCGCGACGCAGACGCTGGGCGGCAAGAGCGCGGGGTCCCGATCCGAGGCCGCGCCGAGATGGCAGAGGACGGAGGCTCCTTGATGAACACGCAACCCTTGTCTGAAGAGGCAGCTTGTGAGAGACAGACAGAGACAGACAGAGAGAGAGAGAGAGATCCAAAGGTGGCAAAGCCGAAGGCGCTCTGACAAGGGGAGCTGTCAGTCAAAGGCCAAACCAGCGAGACAAGATGATTGGCAGGTATTCCGGTTATCTCGCAGTCCGATTTTTTAAAAAAATGATGATGATAATCATAATGATAAACGAAAACCCCCAACCAGGCACAGGACTTTTTATTTTGCACTTCGAAGTGTTTTTTTCCCCAATCTTTAAAAGTAATCAGTGATAATAACCGTTGGGATTCCACATCCAGCCCCATCCCACACCTGTTCAAAAACTTGAATTGCATGTAGCAGTTGTTGGGCGAATGGTGTCTTAAGACAGAAAGTGAATTGTAATTTTCTTTTCCTTTAAAGACAGGTTCTGCGTGCTTTTTATTTTGATTTTTTTGCAAGAAATGTGCAGTCTGTAAACACTTTTTGATACCTTCTGACGTCAAAGTGATTGTGAAAAAAGCTTAATGAAGTAGGCTCAGCGATAGCGATCCTCTTTCAGAGAAATGGGGAGCAGGATGGGGGGCTGGGGGTGGAGGGGGAGGGTGCCCACAAGAGGAGTCAGGACTTGTACTGGGAAAAAAAACCCTAAATTAATTCTATTTCTTGGACATTCCTTTCCTAACATCCCAAGGCTTAAAACCACGAACTAAACTCCTTTTAGTGGTTGAAGGTATTGGCCGAGTTCAACCATTTGCCGTAAATAAAGGCCATTCCAAACTTTCAATCTATCTATTGCAAAGACTGAAGGACTGTAGTTAGCGGGGATGATAAGTGTGGCCAAGAACACGGCAGCAAGTTTTCAAGCACTGAGTTTCTATTCCAAGATCATAGACTTACTAAAGAGAGTGAAAAATGCTTCCTTAATGTCTTCTATACCAGAATGTAAATATTTTTGTGTTCTGTGTTAATTTGTTAGAATTCTAACACACTATATACTTCCAAGAAGTATGTCAATGTCAATATTTTGTCAATAAAGATTTATCAATATGCCCTCAGAGTAGTTGTCTTGGGAAATTGAAGTGAATTCTTGAGAAAAGTATCTCTTTGAGTGTGGTCCTTCCCCAACTAGGCTCAAGAAGCCCAGGTTCCCCACCCACAAAAGGGCCAGACTGATGGATTCTCGGGCATGTTAAAGAGAGAAGAGGGTGGAAAAGGGAGAGGATTAGGAAAACTTAAGTCCTTCAGAAAAGGGATGGGAGAAAAGTTTTCCATCCAGACCTCTGCCCACTGCACGGCCTAAAGAGGGAGCTTAATTTGAATTTCAGGTTAAAAATCCTTACTACTACTACTCTTAACCTCTAGTTATTTAAAAAACTGGACATATATAGTTATGCATTGACGAGTATTCCCCCAGGATTGGGGAAAACACTTAGCAGAATCAGGATCCTGGGACTTTTTAAACTGTGTTTCTGACTTCAAACCCCAAAGCACTATTCTCCTTCTCCCTCTCTCTCCCTTTCCCTCCCTCCCTCCCTTCCTTCCTTCCTTCCTTCCTCCTTCCTTCCCTCCCTCCCTCCCTACTTTCCTTCCTTCCTTCCTTCCTTCCTTCTTTCCTTCCTTCCTTCCTTCTTTCCTTCCTTCCTTCCTTCCTTCCTCTCTCTGGCCCCAATCTGACAAAGGTGAGGGGATGAGCCCAAGGGCCTCAGCAGCCTTTTAAGGCAAGCGTTTTGAGGAACCTTCAACTCTCAATTTTAACATTAAAGAAAAAGTTGTACCCAGTCTTGGAGGAAACTTAGCTTTTCTCCCCCCCCTTCCCCCTTCTGGGGGTACGAGGTTGTTTTTGCATGCTTCATTTGCTTCTTATCCTGATAGGCTGCATTAATCAGTTTTATTTCCATTGATAGAGAAACCTCGTCTGTTCTGTTCGAGCTACAAAGCGTCCTGCGAGCTTTTGTGAAAGTGCAAATCAGTTTAAGCAATTATCATACCAGGAATATGAAGGGGAAAGAGGAGGCCTTGCCCAGTGGTCTCCTTTAATCTCTTAATCCACGGATCCAGGGGGGCTGCCTGGACATAATTTAGGACAATCTCCCCACCCTTTACACTGTGATAAGGCCAAGTTACAATGCAGGGCGAAAATACAAGCTTTGTTAACATCCTGCCTTGAAAAGTTAAGATTAGACATTCCATGCACGTGTGGGGACTATAGGGCACTATGGAAATTTTTCTTTCTTTTTTTCCCCTCCCCTCCTCTCTTCGAAAGTAGAATTCATTCTTGGCCTCTCTCCCTCTTTTTCCCCTTTATCTCTGCCTTTCTCTCCTTTTTTCTCCCTCTCTGTTTCTCTGGAGAACCCTGGCTGTTTATGGTGCATTTCCACGCAGACTCTTTGGGAAGGTGTGGGTGTAGTCGGGGAGACTCCACTGCCCGAGGATTCTGGGGCGAGAGGGGACACAGGCTTGCCTCTCGAAGGGACAGGTGCTGTCCTGTGTATCCTGGAAACTCAAGTGGGGTTTCCAGTCACTTGGACAGCGGGACCTCTGTGACCAAGAGCTCTCCCAAGTGTTTTGCAGTCCCTGCTACAGCATTGCTGCACCTCTTTCTTTTAAGCAAGTTACCTTTTCCTTCTATCCACTTCGCCAAACCCAGAATGCCTCAAACACAGAGCACAGACCTGTTAAAATTCAGACTAGCCTTTCCTGAAGAAAATTTCCCATCTTGATAAAAGGCTTACTTCTGCAAGAACCATATACTTTTTTTTTTAAGTACAAGAAAGGGGGAGGGTGATGTTTTTTTTTTTTTTTTGTAAATGTCCTATGTAGTGTAACAGCAATAAAATCATCAGAGAATACTATTAGCTTTGGGGAAAAAAAAACCTAAAAGCTTTATTACAAACCAAGCTTTGAAAATAGGGGGGATTAGGCGGCTGAAAGGGTCCCACAATGGTAAGAAGAAAAGGTTTCATGCTAATGAGGTTAATGCCCTTTGTATCTCGGGCCGCCACATCTTCATTACGCGCTATCTCTGGCTGCACGGAGCGGCTCAGAGAGCCGCAATCCACTCCAACGCCCCCCTTCCCGGCCCAAAGAAGGATTTGATAGCAGCTCTGTTCAAACTAGATAATTATATCTTTTCAAGTCGGAATTAAGATAAAGAAAGTGAAGCAGAGGCGGCTCGCCTTGATCCACTGCAAACAAATTTGGCGCACTTTCGAGTCCTTCCCCCGCCTCAAAAAGGCTGGACAGTCAGCTTATTAGCCGCTCGTTTGCTTTATTAATTCATCTATTTAAAGTGGCAGGATTAGAGCGTCTAATGTGGACGCGGGCTGCCGTGGCGCTGAGGAATATAAATATTTGCGAGATGCCATCCCACGATGACTATCTGGGCGCGGGGCGCGGGGCAGGGTGCGGGGCGCGTGTGCCTTGTGGCTGCGTCCCCGTCACAGTGCGCGCGTGCTGGGCTGGAGCCCCTTGGGCAGGGAAGCGTGGGAGCTGCGTGCCGCAGGTCTGTGTCCTCCCTCGTGGTACACGGGTGCCAGGCCTAGATGACCCTGGCAGGGTTCAATGGGCATCGAGGGTCAGGTTCTGCGTTCCTCCCTACACATGGAACTGCACGCATGTTGCCTTGTGTCTTGCCTGTTACCCCGAATGGGGATGTAGGTTACACGTTTGATCCATGACCTACTCCCTTCTTGATTACTTGTGGGCCTTCCCTGTGCGTTCGCCTGACCGAGAGGCTTGGGTTCTCAGTTTGCATTTCCCTGAGAGAGTGAAACGGAACGTATAACCCAAGTGTGCCTGGGCTACATTCTCCTTCCTGAGAGGTACACGTGGGTTCCGCGTGCGTGTCTCATTTGGGGTCCAGTTCCTCAGCGCAGCGAAGGGCCAGGTAGGCGTGGGCGGAGGGGTGGGGTGGGGGTGGCTCTGTTCAAGGCACCAGAAACTCCTGAGGTGGGAAAATCTTCGGACCTCCGGGTACTTACTCCTCCGGGTACTTACTGCCTCTTGTCTGAGTGTCCGGTGCCGCCAGCTCACTCCAACTCTGTTCCCGGCAGCCTAGCGCAGCCCGAGCGGGAGCTTTGGCGGCGGCCCGGAACCTGCCGGGCCACTTTTGTGCTAGGGGCGGATTGTGGCGGGCGGAGAGGCGCACCAAGCGGGCCCGGCAGAAAGGGGGCTCGGGCCTGCGCGCGGCCTTGGAAACCTCGGTTCCTCCCCGTCCCCGCCTCGAGTCGCAGGGAACAAAGTCTCGGACGCGCAGGCCGATAGGGAAGGGACTCTGGCGGGTCGGAGGCCTCGCCCGGGGCCCCGCGCCGCGGCTGGGGGCATCTGGGCTAGGCTCCCCGCATGCGGGCAATTGCAAGTCGGACTAAGGGTGTGGATGTGAGTTAGGGAGAGGCTGTGCTTGTGGGTTTGTAGAGGTTGAGTGTACCAGTGAGGTCTGTGGAACAGTTGTTTGTGTGTCTGAGCCAGGATTTCAGTCAGGATGTGTAGGTGCTAATTGTGCTAACTGCGTGCGTTAGAGGCTGAGAGGCCGGGGCTACTTGTGTAGATTGTGAGTGTCAAGGTGTCCAGCTTTCCTTGTGCATCTAGATTGTATTGAGTTAGGGCAGGAACGTGCAGCTGCGCGGCTGTAATTAGAGTGCTTATAAAGGTGTAGAAATGCAATTGTGTAAAGAAGTTGTGTGCGAGCGTCTGGTCGCTGTGAGCCGGCTGCAGTTGTGGCTCTCAGAGGATTGGAATGGCCTCCGAGTGTGCGACTGGCGGGAACATTTCTCCGTGTTTGGGTGGGGGTCCCCTGTGATGGCGTCCATGCCGGCAGCAGGGCAGCATATGTGTGTGTGTCTCGGGATCTAGACGTGTGTGTCTAGTGAGAAGGCTCGGGTTCGGTTATTGTTTCGCAGCGCACCACTCGCTCCGGAGTTTGGCAAACAGCAGACGTTTTTTTTTTTTTTTTTTTTGGTAACCGCATTTTCCCAGGCCGGCCCTTCTTATTCCAGCAATCAGCGTTTGGTTTACTTGGGTGCCGCCTCAGAGCAGCGGCAGGCCGGGCGGGAGAGGAAGCGGGCCTGCAGCGTTCGGCCGCGGTGCCTCGAGGCCGAGTTGCGGGACCGCGGGCGCGCCTAGCCCGCCGCTCCGCTCCTGCGTCCGCCGCTCGGCCGCCGCATTTACTTCCCCCTACCAGCCCCTCAGCGAGGGGGAAGTGGGAGTTTTGAGAACTCGCTGACCCCAGCCGTGACCCCGCTGGGGCAGGTGGCTTCTCCCGGCGCGACCCAGTACTCCGGGAAACCCGAGGCGGTGCCACGCTTGAAAGCGAAAGGTCCATTCATCAGCCGCGCCCCAGCGTCTAATTGGCCTTTTGTTCATCAGTGCCTGTGGCCCGGCGAGGGGGTTGGGGGAACATGGGAGGGCCCCGGGGCTGTAAGTAGGGGTGCCCGGCGTTCCGGGCTGGGGTCTGGGTAGGGCAAAGGAGCGTCGCACTCCTCCGAGGGGGCGCCAGAGCGCGCCAAAGATCACGCCCACGTGCGAGGATGCTCGGCTGGCGGCTGGTCTCCGAGCGCCCCGGCCGATCCTCCGAGCTGCTGGAGAGCCACGGCCTCGCCCCTGCCCTCACCTCCCCCTGCAGGCTGAGTCCACGCCTTTCCTCCGCGCCTCGGGGATTTCAGACCTGCCTTCCTGCCTGTCCCAAGTTCCCAGCTCAGGCGCTGGCCTTGGGGCTGGTTTGGGCTCAAGCCCTGCCTTTCTCCATGCTTCTTTCGCCCTGCTCTACTCGCCTACCATAGAGAGAGACTCTGGGTCCCCCTCCCTAGGCACCAACCTGGTACCCTTGTCCGGCCTGCAGCCTGCTTCGCTGGGCGAAGGAATTGAGAGAATTTTTTGGCCCGCCAAGGAGGTGGGAGTTGACCAACTGTTAGGCGATCAGATCCGGGAGGAAGACCGGGTCTCTACCACCCCAAATTCCATATGGCTCTCCAAATCAAGCCTCACCTTCCCTCTCCCTGTCTCCCACCCAGTGTACAAATCAAGCCTCGCCGGTCCCCCTCTCTACCCCACACCTACT